GGCCAAGGCTGCGATGCCCCCCAGGCACCCCAGCAGAGCCCCCACCCCCACCCGCTCCTTCTCTGCCAGCCTGGGGAGGTGAAGGGAGGTGTGCGTGGGAGGTGGGCAGGGGCAGCGGGAGGAGGGGAGGGCACTCAGGGCTGAGAGCCTGGTCCAGGGGGTAGGGGGGCGGGGTGCCCTGGGCCAACGGGGATGCATTCACCAACAGTGCCTCGTTTGCAGGTCGCCAGGGACCTGGTGAGGCGTTTACACCTGGAAGCCCATGTGGACAAGCTGGTGGCCACCTACAGTGGGGGGACCAAGCGGAAGCTGTCTACGGCCTTGGCTTTGCTGGGCAGACCCGACCTGCTTTTACTGGTGAGTAGGGGAGAGCCCAGTGGTCTGCGGGGATCTTCAGATAAGATGCTTTTAACTTCTCAGAGCCCCTCTGGGAAAGAAATTCAAATCGGCAGTGTTGGTTGTCTGCACTAATATGCTCTTTTGCCCTAAGGCAACGTTTCCCAAACAGATTCTAAAAAAGCATTGGGATTTTACAGAAAAAAAAAAAATGTCTTTTGATAGAGTCCCTGTTACTGACCTAACTGAAGGTTCAATAAATATTTACCATTAAAAGCAGTATTTTATTTAAAAAAATTTGTTTTAACATTTATTTTTGAGAGAGAGCGTGAGCAAGGGAGTGACAGAGAGGGAGACACAGAATTGGAATCAGCTCCAGGTTCCAAACTGTCAGCACAGACCCCGATGCGGGGCTCAAACCCACGAACTTTGAGATCATGGCCTGAGCCGAAGTCGGATGCTCAACCGACTGAGCCACCCAGGCGCCCCTAAAAGCAGTATTTTAGAATGGTGTCAGGATTCACCTATAATCTGAAAACCAATATATGTTTGCCATCTAGTGTGTTGTTTTTGAGTGTTTTTCTACCTGCAGATATGTGATTGTCCCAGCTGCAGTGACATGAATCCGTGGTGAATCTTGATGGCGGGCGTCGGGGACAGGATGGATGTGGCGGGGACAGCAGGTTGTTCAGCAAGACAGTGGAGCCTGTACGCAGTAGCTTTGAGACAAGGCTGTCTGAAATCTGGGAACTGGAGTTATTCCAGCGTGGCTAGATGAAAGCATGAATTCGTGGTGGGGGGATCAAGAAATAAAGGCAATTGTCTTGCATTTCAAAGTTAGCTAGAAGTAATATCCTTCAAACGGGAAGTACATAAAAGCCACTGTTTGGGTGCCGTAGACAGGGTGTGAATCACTGATGTGTATCTCATGGTTTCCCACTTGTACAGAGTCTGAGAGCCTTCAAACGTGTGGGTAACAAATTCTTTTCTTCTTTCTGTTCTTGTTCATTAAATGGAAATGGGATTCAAGAGGCCCGCATTGGAAAAGTGGCCCTCATTAGGTAATGAGGTGTCTTCTGGACTTTTGGAGGACTTTTTCTTTCTTTCTCTTTCTTT